TACTTTGATATTTTTCAGCTGTTGATGGAATCAGCCTCTATGAGAGCTACCACAGAGTGCGGGAAACCTAACTACCAGCCGGCCTCAGAACCATAAAGCTGAGTTTTAGAGCTGTACCCTCATTAGGAGATAATAGACTGAGTTGCCTAGTCATAAAAACAGAGACACAAGCAAAACCCATGCATCGAGTCAAGAAGATCCAGCATTCAACATCCTAAACTGGAAACAATGTATTAAAAATACATCTGCGCCAGCCTAATAGATGAAGAATTACTTTTGAACCCAGACTCTAACCACCAAAGGTTACTTTTGTACCCAGACTCTAACCACCGCAATTTGTGGTGGTTAGATTTTGTATACAAAAGTTAAGTTACATTAAGTGTGGGGTATAAAACACATAAATATAAAAAGGTGCGAGTTTATATATGTTAAAGGTTGAAAAAAAAAGCAAAAAAAGCATTAGTTAAAGATAAAATATATGAAAGATTTTGATTAAACACTTGATTAAAAAAAAAAAATGCTTGATTTTTTTCTTAACAATTTTAGTTATTATGCTTCATCTTATTATGTTTAATTTTTATCTTGAGCTTATTTTGAGTTTAACTTTTGTTATGAGTTTATTTTAATTTAAAGACTATTAAAATATAGTTGTTCTTAATATATAATTATATTTAACATAGTCATAATATATACCAATCCCATTGTAATGGCTTCGTGATAAGATCATTACAATCTTCTTGAAGTCCGGCCCGTACTACTTAATTATAAATTTCATTTTATAATTTGATTCACGAGACTTGTAGATATTACACCTTTAATTTACGAATTTGTAAATATTATATGTACAATAAAACATAATAAAATAAAAATAGAGAGAAAAAAAGTTGAAACAAAGTATATTTGAGTGAGCAGCAATTTTATCGTAACGGTAATGGTATAGTTTTTTGCATGTATGTATCATTATCATTTAAGTAGAGCTAAGAAGAATGATGTCATCAGCATAAGCAACAACACCTGTTATTTAATGAAGCAACAACACCTTTATGTTAAGTGAAGCAACAACACCTGTATGTTAAGTGAAGCAACAACACCTGTATGTTAAGTGAAGGTGTTTTTAGTTCAATATAAATACTCTCTTTGATTTTAATTTCTTATTTAAAGTCTTAAATGGAAAATGAATTAGTGTTTATATAATTTTGATATTTAGGAGATAATAAGAAATGTTTATTTATATTGGAAGTTTTATCAAAGTTAAAATGCTCCAAAATCTTTCCCTGTAGGCATGGGACATAAAAAAGACGTCTTTTGACCGTTTTTTAAACGTATCGAACATCTTTTGAACGTTTAAAATACGTCTTTTTTAGGTCTGGTGCACTGGGTTGTTACATATTAGACTTCGAAATAAACAATCAAACTTATCGTGTCAGATAGTTTTACCTAACATTACAATTAGGACATTCAAATTTATGTAATACAAAAGATTTCACCTTATTAAGTGAAGAATATTAAGCTAATTTAACTTTGACTTTTTTTTTCTTTACAATACTTTTTGATATAATTATTTAACTTATGTTAATAGGTATGCGAGATTTGTCCGATTTAGGGAAATCGAAAGTAATAAATATCACGTGATTTTAAAAAGTGTATTTTTTTTTCTTTCTTTTTTCTTTTTTTGGAGAGATAAAATTGTTTAGTGAAAATTTTAAAGTTTTGTCAACAAAGTTGTGAGAGAAAGAATTGTTTTAAAGAGTTTGTTTAACTTTTTCAACATCAGGAAGAAAGCTAATCCAACTGCTGCTACTTTTGAACACCTTGTTAAACAGAGCTTTAGTGAGCTCCAATTTATAATTATTACCGGCGAAGGTATAAAAGTTAGTTTTTAGATTCCAGCTTTTTTTGAAAAAGGTTGATGCATTAAGTTTTTCATTTCAGAAACTAATTAAAACATCAAAGAAATTTAATCTATGAGTTATCATCTTCTACTTTTGTGACCTTAAGGTTAGAATATTGATTAATAATGTTTTTTGTTTTTTTAATTACTTATTCAAGGTGCTCTAAGAAATCCTGGCGATCTTAACACAAAGCACCACAGAACAGCTTTTAATCAGAAAATTCATGCCTCATTTCTACAAATGTCTCATATATGGCAAGAACCAGCTTTGAGTTTTGAAACCAGAACTCTACTCTAGCTTAGTGCATCCAAGGCCGGCGCGATAGGGGGGTGCGGGGTGTGTGACCCCCCCCCCCCCATCAATGATTTTTTAGTCGGCAAATTGGACCCCTAGTTGGCAATTTGGACCTTTTTAGATTAGTTAGTCGGCAAATGTCGACCCTTTTGAAATAGGTTAGTCGGTAATCTAGACAGTCGGCAAATGTCGTAATAAAAGTCGACAAATTTTGGAAAACGAGGACCTTTTTTTTTTTTTTTTTTTTTGTAGGCAAAAGTTGTAATGGCACCCCCACCCCCACGTGACACCTACTCGCGCCGGCCCTGAGTGCATCTTCTTTATTTTTAAAGACACAAAAGATATCATCTACATATCTTCTGTATAAAACTCCTTTTTTGCAATTATCATTTTGTAGCTATATGTTTTCATGATGACTTAAAAATAAGTTCAAGTGAGAGCTAGCTGAGACCCTTTTATTCATTTTTATTAATATTTATTGATCCATCAACTGGGTCGAAAAATTTATTACTAAATTAAAAAAATGTTTTTTAGTGGAGAATTTATATAATTTTTTAAATTTAGTTTTGGAAACTTAATTCTTGGGAGTATACTTTACAATAAAATTGAAAGCTATTAAGATTGCTTCATCTAAAAGAATGTTTGTAAACAAACTTTCTCAAAATATGTTTATATAAATTTGTACTTCTTAGCTGTAATCCTAAGCACATATTGTAAACACAATACACTACTATGCAAGGATTTTAAAACATCTCAACTTTGATAAAAGTTTACATATTGATAAACATCTCTCATCATTTCCGAAACGTAAAAGTTCTTTATAATTTGTATTGTGAACTCAGTAATTGACGTCACTTCCGTCATTAAAAATAATACGATTAGTTAAACAAGAGATATTAATTATACGTAATTAATTCGCTACATATAACCCATTGTGTGGTTTTTAATTGTGTATTAACTTTATATTTGATAAAAGCCAAAATATATAAAATAGAATTTTCTTACGGTTTTCAGTAATTTTATATAATATAAAGTTAGTTTGGATGTAAAAATATTTAAAAAAAAATACTACGCAAAAAACGTGAGCTTTTTTTAACCTTAAAACTCTTTAAAAAAAAATATTGAAAAAAATTTAAAATGAAATTTTTTTAATTCGAATTCCGTAAAAAAATATTCAAAAATATAAAATTGGAAAAATATTTAAGTAGGGGAAAGGCGCCTATGATGGCATACTTAACTTTGAAGCTTCATTAATGGTCATTAGATGATTTCATTTAACCTTAGAGTCTTCACTCAGAAAAGCCAGAAATTACTCGGAACCATCCTAATTTACCATTTCATGCTACACAGCAGCATAGTAAAGTTTTGCACATGCTTTTTGGATATTTTTTGGACCAAAAAAAAACTTTTTGTTTGCCTTATTAAAAAAATAAAATTAAAGTAAGTATTCCACGAAATGCATAAAACTTAGATATAAAATGCATGAAAATTCCCTTTCTGCTCAGTTAATAATAAAATCACAATTTTAAATATATGAAGGGAAAAAAACTACAACTGCACATCCCGAAATCGATTTTTGTTGATTATAAAAACAAAACTTGTGCACAAGGGACGTATTTTCACTAAAACTAATGTAAAGCCAGTATAGTCATGTAGGTCTAATCAATTTTTCACCAAAACCAATTTTTGTGGAAATATGACCGGTATGCCATCATAGGCGCTATGCCATCATAGGCGCCTTTACCCTAATGTTAGTAAAATCATATTTTCGCTTGGTAACGCATAGTGTAACAGTTCGACGACCCGAACAATGAAAAAATCGTTATTAACTACGATGTCTATGATTCCGTAAATTAAAAACCAAGATGAATTTAAAAAAGTTGTTCAATTTCGAATCAACATCATTCGATTGGAAATTCAATAATAGATTGCATCTCTTATAAACAATCACCTACAACAGCGAAACCGAGGATAACGAAACCGAGGCCAGCTTTCTATACCGAAAGTTAATACTCTTGAATCTAGTATATGCTTATGGACAAGATGTACTATTAAAATGCCAAAGTCATTGAATAATTTTTCTTCATAAATTATTATTCAAAGTTAAGTCATTACATTATTCGAATTTAAGTTATTACATCTTGCCATAAAATTTTCTTAAAGCAGAGAAGACTGATATATTTTAAGTTATGTTATGAATTCAGTAATTCACAACATTTTCCCTTCAGTTTAATTAAAACGGTTAGTTGAAGTGGAGATATTAATTATATATAACTAATCTGCAGTTGTGGGTTTTAGGAGGAGGAAGGGGGGTTTAGGGGCAAAGGGTAGAAGCCACTTGGAAGTTTTTTCAAAAAAATATTTTTTTGTAAATTGACTATTATAAAAAATTGGACTGTTATACTAAAGAATGAAATTGACTATTATAAGTAATTATACGTATACGAATTTGATTATTACACTAAAGTACAATAAATTAAAAAAAAAAGTTACTTATAAATGAAAATACGCGGACCTTAAACCTTTACGTGAAATAAAGAAATATAAACTATTTTATAACGGTTTACTTTTTTTAGCGTTTTGACTAGAAAATTAGGGTAACGGGGGCAAAACGAGGCATTTAAGCACTAACTTATTTAATACAGGCCGTCTAAGAACCTTATTAGCCCCCTCCTTGGCAAGCGACAAAACCAGCCAATACTAACACGATATATATAATCTATTCTGTAGTTCATTAATTGTGTTTAATTTTACGTTTTGTAAAAGTTAAAATATATAAATAACTTTTTATTAAGGTTTACAACAAGTACTAACTCATTCTCCATTCTTGACAGAGCATCCTAAAAACACAAACTTAAAATTAACGAGAGTATTTATATTGAAATTTTTTTTTTTTTTTTTTTTTTTTTTTTTTTTTTGTATGTATTTAGGTGCTCCCAGAAGTCCTTACGGTCTTATCATAGAGCACCGTGGGTGAGCATTTAACAGGAAGTTCACGCCTCCTTCCGTACCAATGTCGCTTGTTGGGCTGGAGCTGGCATCGAACCTCGGACCTCTGGGTTCTGAGCCAGAACTCTAACCACTGCGCCACGGCTGCTCTTAAATTAAATTAAAGATCTTCACTCAACATTCAGATAAAAAACTATACCATTACATTATAGCAGCTGCTTGAGTATACTTTTTTTTATCTTTTTCTCTCATTCTACAGTTAACATACATAAAAATTCACACCTCTTTAAAAGTTTTTATACCCCCGTAACTATTTATCATATATTAAATGTTACTATGTAACCATAGTAACATTTCTATAGTAATAAAATTAATCTGTTTATATATTGCATATATATAATGTAAATATTGTCTGATTTTGCATGATCACGCGAATGAAAGAGTTTTATTTTGGCACCAGTAAAAACGAGCTGCTTGCTTTTAGGCAAAACAAACAACGGCTTTTCATCAAAATAACTCAAATGATGTAATTTGGAGCAAGAATTGATAAAACAATTTATAAGCTGAACATTTATTCCAAATGGCATAAAAATATATATATGTATTTTTTTAAATAAAGTTTAAAACCATAAAATTTCCCATTGTGGTTATTGAAAATGAAATAAAAACTTGAAAAGGTACTAAAGTACATAACGCATATTTTCAGGGCCTAATTAAGAAGTTTTGAGACCTGAACCCAAATTAAATATTGAGGTCCTCCTTAAAAACATAAACATTACAAGTTGTAACATAAAGTAAGGTTTTTAAAAAACTAAAAAAGCTATTGCATTACTTGCTTTCACGATTATGTTAATGCAATGATGCAAGTCTTTCGTAAACAATTGTTTGCAATTTGCAATTCATCTTTAACACTCAGCAGCTATGAAAATTTTTGTTCTCTAGAACATCTGGAGAAAAATAAAACACTATAATTGCTAAGACGCCAACTACTAAAAATAGAAAGAGATGAGGTGTAAATAAACACAAGTAGTTTTCAATGAATTTTTATATTTAATCAATCTTACTCTTGCAAAATAAGTGCTTGCAGTGTTTTACTTGTTTTGTTAAAGAGTTGAAAGAACTTGGTCCTAAAATCAATCAAAGCTCAAGTTTTTTTATTTTCTGGCTTAAATTCCTAGCTTGAAGTCTTGAGATCTATATGTTGTTCTTGTTTTTTTGAATATAATCAGGAGTGTCTATAATCAAGAAACGCCCCAGCGGGCACAGACATCAATCAAACGTCTTACGGACGTCTTAACTAGGTCGCGACGTCTGAGACCAAATTAGGACGTCCTAGAGACGTCCGGTAAAGACGTCTTTGGTAGGACGTTATAGTAACGACTACAATAAGACGTTATCAGGACTTCGGTACTTAGATGTCCTATTGACGTCCCTAAGACCTACTTTAGACATTTTTATTACCTTATATATATGTATATATATATTACCTTAATATATATGTATATATATATATATATATATATATATATATATATATATATATATATATATATATATATATATATATATATATATATATATATATATAATACAGACACACAAAGTATCATTACTATTCTATAAAATACAATCTGAAACTTCTTGTTGCAATTTTGATATCTTTTTTGAAAATTCCCTTACTCGATGCGCATCGATATTACAAATCTTTGCAGAGTAAAGTTTTTTTTAACTTTACTATACTATACTATAGTATAGTTGAATTAAAAAAAATATGATAACTTATCACACAACAAATAATTAACTAATTGCTATTATAGTCTATAGTAGCTATTAGTTAATTATTTTTTTGTGTCATAAGATATCATATTTTTTCTTAACTTTGTTAACTGTTTTTGATGATACTAACTTATTTGGTAAATTATTTCAATAAGGTATTACCATTGTTGTTCTTCTCTGATATTTGATAAATAGACTTTTTAGAGTTAAAAAAAAAAGTTTTTGAGTTAAGATGTTACTAACACCAGTTTACTTTGTTTAAATTAGTTTTTATCTTAAAATATTAAATGAGGTTCTCTATAATTCTTCTGGTTTCAAGACTTTCTAACCCTAAGCTTGATAAATTATCTTCATATAAAATGTGATTTAAACCTGGTACAAGCTTTGTACCTCTTTGCTGTTCTCTTTTAAGTTTTTTTTATTTTATTTCTCAAATGTGGATTCCAAACTGGTGCACAAAATTCTAATTCAGGTTAACATAGTTAAGTAAGTAAGTTAGTTGACCAGAATTTAAATGTCTGCTTTTTACCTTGTTTTAATTAAGCTTTTTTAGTTGACGTTGCGATGTCGTCTTTCCATTTTAGATTATTACTTATATTGATGCCTAGGTCTCCTTCCTGTGTTGTTTCATTCAATTTGATGATTGTTCTATCATAAGTTGTAGGTATAAGTGTGTGTGTGTGTGTTTGTGTGTTTTGATAAATATTGTATACTGTTGAAAATGCAACTCTAAATGGGAAAAAAAAAATTTAATTTTTTTTATGCCGTTGCAAAGCTAAACTTGTATTTTTTATAATGGTTTTATATTTTCGAATAATATGGTTGATGATTGCTTAAAGGCATAAAACTTTAAGTTCCATTATAAAGATGTATTTTTTCACTTAAATTGTTATATAAATAAATATATATATATATATATATATATATATATATATATATATATATATATATATATATATATATATATATATATATATATATATATATATATATATATATATATTCTTTGAATGTCATTTTCTTGTTATACGTTAAAATATGATTAGAATTAAATAAATACGCCTGCGTATAAACTTTTTTAAAATATATATATATATATTTTTTATTTAATATATAATTAATTAGATATTTCGCTGATCTATTATGATCAGCGTCATCAGGTATTATAAATAAAATAATTTCAAAATCGTTATAGTAAAAACAAACCGTTAAAAAGATTCAATTAAAAAGCCAAAATATAATACAGAAAAAACTTTTCAAATAACTGACGTCAGCATATTTTATTAAAAAATGGCCCCAGGTTTTGGTTGTTACGTTATCACCGTCATTCCGATTGAAAACCACGTCAACATTTCTCAACTCATATTGAACCATAGCCTTGTTTATTTTGAGTGACTCTCTGATTTTCCGAGTTCGATATTCTGGGGCTACAGATGATGTTTTGGGGTGCAACCAATCAAACTTACCATAGCATGTTTTAGAATGCTCAGTTGCACCCGAACTGGATCATTTTCCTTTTAAGCTGTTTTTTTGGTGTTCAATACATCTCGATACCACCTTCTTTTTAGTTTCGCCAATGTATATCGAACCGCATGAACATTTTAGCTGGTATACGCTAGGGTCTGTGTTTAGTGGTAGTTTAGTTTTATTGTTGCAGAAAATATTTTTTAAATTGGGAGTTGATGTGAAAATAACCGTTTAAGTTTTGCTTTCGTAATTCTTTACGAAGTTTCGGACCAACAATTGGTATCCAAGGTAATTTTATAAAGGGTTGGATATCAAATGGTTGAAATGTGGTGTTTTTTGAACAGTTTTTAAAATAGTCTATAGTAATATTATTTAGAATGTTTTTGTCGTAGCCATTTTCAACAAAGATGTCTATTAGAAAATCAATTTCTTTTTGAAGGTGTTTTTGAGAGCATATTCTTTTAGTACGACATAAAAATCCTTTGTAAACGCCAATAATAATTTTAGGATTACTGTTCGAGTTAGGTTTAAGTTGAACATTTGTAATAGCTTCTTTTCTATGTATTTGAAATTCATAAGTTCCAGAGCCTGTGTTTGTAATGTTAATATCAAGGAAATTGAGTTGTTTGAGGTCGTTTTCAAGTTCCACTGTGTATTTTATGGAAGGATGTTGTTCATTAAGGATGTTCAGGAACATTTGTTGTTGTTTTATTGAAGCAAAGCAAGCATGACAATCATCTACATATCTCTTGTAAGTTTTTAGTTCGGATGTATGAATAATTGCTATGTTAAGGGCTTTTCTTTCTATATTTTGTAAAAGCGCTTCCGCCATAACAACCATAAAAGATAAACCTATAGGACCTGAACTAGGTATTACTCGGATATTGTTTTCATATAAAAAATAGCATATACTTAATGAAAGTTCAATTAATTGATGTATGTCTGCAAGAGTAAGTTTAGTTCGAGTTTTTAAGTCATCGTTCAACATATCAATAATAACCGGAATTGCTTCGTCAATGGGTATGCACGGATATAAATTGACTATATCAAATGAAACTTGAACTTCGTTTGGATCTATTATCCATTGCTTAGCTTCATTTACAAAACTATTAGAATTCATAAGTTTACTTTTATTTTTGTTCAGAGTCGGTTGAATAATTTTAACAAGATAATCAGATGTTCCATAAGGTGGTGTGTTAATTGTTGATACAACAGGGCGCATTGGGTAATCTTTTTCTGGTTTGCGAGCTTTAATCATTCCGTAAATCCTTGGTGGATTACAATCTGATGGATACATTTTAAAGTATGTATTTGTGTCTAGTTTACCTTCTTTTCTTAATTTGCAAAAGTTGTCTTTGAAATTTAATAGTCAATGTGGATGTTGAATCATAATCAATAATTTTGCTATTTTTTATTTGTTCTTCTAATTTGAGAGGTGCATCTTTTTGGTTTAATAATGCGAAACCTATGCCTTTATCAAAAGGGTATATCTTAATGATAGAATTGTTTTTTAATTTGTTTATTGAAAGAAAAAAGATTTTTTCAAAATCAAACAATTAATAAAAAAAGAAGAAGAGATTCTCTATTAGTTCTATATTCTAATATTGAACTATCTTTAAAAAGAGTTTTTATTTTTCACTAAATCTTATTATTATAAGATTTAGTTATTAGCCAAATCTCAACGTTTAAAATGAAAAGAGTTTTTTTTTTCAATTCAAAACGTCTAAAATTTAAAGCGTTCTTTTTTATTCCACACTATTTAGTTTAGACAGTTTTTATTGCCAACTTGTTTAATTTAATTGGGTTGCATTCCCTAAGATATTTATTTGTCAAAATGGTTTCAATTACATCTATAGCTTTTTTCTAAAGGTATGAGTGTTTTAACGTTTTCAATACACATTTTTATTTTATGAGATTAGTCTCATGCTAAGTTTCGATGTTAAAACTTGATGCTTAGTTTTAGGCACCAAAAAATAGAACAAAAAAAGATTTTTTGATTTTTTTCTTTTTGCGGAAAAGATTCTTGTTGTTTTTGCGGTAAAGTAAATAAATTTATTTTAAAAAATTATGTATAAAAAAATTTACTTGAAAATTCTTCAAGAAATGAGACCTATGATCCAAATTCATTGAAAAATTCATATGGAGGAAAATTTTTCAAACTGTTGAAAACGAAAACGTACCTTTATCTTGTTTTTTAAAATACCAATCAATCTTTTAAATATTGCTAACGCATTTTTATAAGCATGAGATTTTTTTTTGCCCTTAAAAAAATATTTTAGTTTTAGTAATTGTTTAGGTGTCCTTTAGATGTAACTTTTTTATTTGTTTGCGACGCTTGTTTGTTTTGTATTACTTTAGTTAGAGTAGTTAGCAGTTTTTAAAGTTTTATAAAATTGCAGACAGAAAACACGTCACCTTGCCCCGGTCACGTGATCAGATGACAAATTTATGAATTTTACATTTTAATTTTTATTACATATTTTTCTAATTACAAACTAACAACTCATGTAGGTAACCATTATGATAAAGCTAACATACTGACAAAATATTATTGCTTCATAACTTACAGTTATGCAAAAATTTATTCAAAAAGATTTTGAAACGTATGCCATCTTGCCCAGTAAATGTTTCGCGGAGGAGAAGGCGGGAAGGTCAAAAGAAAAGCGTACATACTTTATGAACGACCCTTAAGTGAAAAAACACTAACGAAAAAATATTAACTTGTATCAAATTTTCACTTGATACAAGTTGATTTTTTCACTTAATTGTTATGCAAAAGAAGCGGGCGCAATCAGCAGGGGCTTAAAATGCACATATATATATATATATATATATATATATATATATATATATATATATATATATATATATATATATATATATATATATATATATATATATATATATATATATATATATATATATAT